AGTGAGGTCAGGGAACCTGCTGACTCTCACTGCAGCAACTCGGCAGACCATGCAAACACAGTGTGCAGAGTTTTTCGCCCGTGCATTGCAGTGTCTCCTGAACGTGATCTGGGTATATCCTCGGTTGGCATTTGGACTTGGAGCGCATTAACTGAATTGTCGGTTTGCTGTAGTAAGCAGGTGGAAGGAGATTCAAGCCGCGAGTTTCCCGAAGCCGAACTTGTCAAGCATGACCGTGCGCAGGTTCTCATGGTACTCCTTCAGAGCCTACCAGGCCAGGTTGTTTCGTCATCGGTAGCACGTCGATGATGCTCCTGGTCCTCGTTTCGCGGTCAGTTGCGACCTGTATTTTGCATGGGAACAAGTGGTACGCAGACACACACACACACACACACACACTCACACTCACACTCACACTCACACTCACACTCACACTCACACTCACACATACACATACTCACACTCACACTCACACTCACACTCACACTCACACTCACACTCACACACATACACACACACACACACATGCGCAGGCGCACATGCAGACAGACACACGGGTATGTGCGAACTTGGTTAACCGCCATGGTTTACTTTCCGATAGTTTGGATTTAAGTGATACATACCTGGTGGTCATGTCTTCCTGATCTTGTTCATGTATTTCTTATAATATCGTACGGTGGCCCCGTCCCGACCATTCAGCGCCGGTGGTCTGAATAATTGGATCCCAGCGTGCTCCCCAGAACCCAGTCCCGGTGGAGTGGTACATGAGTAGACTATAGTACAGTAGTAGTACGTTAGCACAATGCACAATGCACAGTGGTAACTACACGAGCTAGAAAATTTATGGGTGCAATGGTATACAGTGCAAGCATTGGGTAAGAAAACAAGTCCGTGAGCTCAGAGGTCACTCATTTTCCTAGCTTGCTCTTCCATGAGAATGTGGCTCTCAGAAGTCCAGTGCCCACTCATTTTCTTAGTACTTTCTTAGCAAGCATTGCAGGGAGCAGGTGCTAACACCTCCAACCGGCTGGATTTGGACCTGTCGGATGGTCATTTTCTTAACCGTGTTTGCGGCTGGATTTGGACCTGTCGGATGGAGCGGGGTCAAATCCAGCCAACAAGAGGATTAAGAGAACACGAGCGCTCATTTTCTTAACCGCGTTTGCGGCTGGATTTGGACCTGGGGGATGGGGCGGGGTCGAATCCAGCTAACAAGAGGATTAAGAAAATGAGTGCTCATTTTCTTAACCTTTTTTGCGGCTGGATTTGGACATGGGGGATGGAGGGTGGTCAAATCCAGCCAGCAAGAGGATTAAGAAAACGAGTACTCATTTTCTTATCCGTGTTTGCGGCTAGATTTGGACCTGGGGGATGGTCAAATCCAGCCAACAAGAGGATTAAGAAAACCAATACTCATTTTCTTAACCGTGTTTGCGGCTGGATTTGGACCTGGCATCCTTAGTATGGCTATGTTAAGCCCTTGTCACAGCTAAAATAAGCCCTCATTGAAGCCACCAAAAGACGCCCCCAGGGATTGAGCCCACAGACTTGCCGAACGAGGCTTGCGAGTCCACTCCCTTGCCCGTTGAACTATGGCCGGCTAGACTGCAGGGCAGTCATCTCGGCCCTTTCTCAGTGGCGGGTGTTTGACCCCGCCCCATCCCCCAGGT